CCAACAGCTCAAGAACTCCCCCTAGAACTACTTGCTATGGGGCAAAACAACTATTAAGAGTTACTTAAAGTCAATATATTAAACATTCATTTTTTTTTTTTTGATGAATTATAGATTTCCTCAAAAGTCAACATTTAATGATTTACTTAAAGTCAACATGTTAAGTTAAATGAAATTGTCATCAATGTTCTTGACAATATAAATATTCCTTCAAATTACACAGCCTAGCAGAATACTTGGTCAATCCTCAAATGAGATGAAGAAACATCATGTGTTATTCTGTTGATTTTGTTCATGAATGTGTTTAACCAACCCAATTCAGTGGATGATCACATTGTTCTCTGCCCTCTCATTCATTAATGTAAAGTAATTGTAGAGGAGAATAGATTCTTTTCTTCAAATCTATTTGGATTTTAGTAGATCACTTGTCTATTTACAAAGAACTTGTCTATCAACTTAGTGATTCAAGTAAATAAATGGGTACTGTTCTAAAAAGGTCATATGCTTTTTGGATATTGTTTTTGCTAAGAGCCACAAAGGCTATATTGAAGATCTGAAGCTTTGGCCTTTCTTTTTTCCCCAACTCTTAATAGCTCTGGTAGTGGTTTGGGCTCGTTTGGTTGTCATATGGACAAAAAAAAAAGAGAGTATATTAATTAATACAAGTTAATTTTGTATAAACAAATAAAAAATTAAATTAAATATAGGATAAAAATAATACTCATTATATTCCAGTGTTTGATAAGACATTGAATAAGAATGGAATAATATAATATTAATTACATATTGATAAAAAAAAAACCCATCAATCTAATCTATGTATGCATGTTTTTGTTTAGTTGGTGAGCAAAATAGTAAAATATAACTTAACACGGTTTTACTATATTACAAGACCACATATTCGGGTGATATTAAAATTTGCTCAATAATACGAGTAGAACATATTATTCGTATATATATAAATAAGAGTAGATATAATGCTAAGTATTTTTAGCAACCAAACAAAATATAAGGTTAGATTAAAGAATTTTAATTTGTTATGATTTTTTAATACACCTCTTAATACTGCAATCAAATTACTCCTAACTATCATCTTGAATTTAGAGTAATTTTCACACCAACCATCTCATATTTATTATATTATGTCAAATGTCAAGAGATATGGGTGAAACCCTTAAGGCATGTCAGGAGAACTTATTACAAAAAACTCCTTTATGTAAATATTTCTTTTTTTAAGTGGAACCCTTACGGCATCTCCGAAGTTGCCCTAAACTCAAACTTAAATTTAAGTAAAATATCGAATAAAAAGCTTGATTTGGTATGAGACTCTTCAATAGGTAAAACTAAATTTATAAGTAATAATTGCTATTACCTGTAGTGGCCCTTTGTAATAGTTTAAGCTTTTAGATGAATTGATAATTTAATAAAATCACTTGTGATTTTAAATCGTGAATTTGTTTTGGGTGCAGGCATTTTTTTCCCAAAAAAAAAAATTAATATTAAAAATGTCAAGAAGAAAGAAGTGAGAAAAAAGGTTTCATATCCACAAAATAAATAGATTTTCCAAGAGTTACATTAAATTCTTGAATAGTTCTAGCCAAGCATTATTAGTCACCTTTTTCCTTATCTCTCTTTTTCATGTTTGTTCACTATTTTAGGGCATCCCCAATTACTTAGATCAGGTTATGGTACCGAAATAAAATTTTGATATTATATTAAAAAAATAATTTATAATCATCTATCATGAATTAATATTAGTAGATATTAAACTCAAAACTAATTAAAAAAATAACATAAAAAATTAATTATATGCATCATATTTTTATGGGGTGAAAAAGGATGTAGGGGGCCGAGCTCGGGGCGGGCTAGTGGTTAGCAAAGGCCGTGTGCTTGCCTATGGGTCAACCGTATCTGGGCCATTGACAATTAATGGGTCAGACCACACTATGCAAAAATGACAATCCACAGTCAAATTCTTTCTACCGATAAAATAAAAAATAAAAAATAAATCATACATTTATATTTAATTCAAATTTAAATAACAAACACACTGAAATGACTCAAACAACCTTCCCACATAGTATTTGACTTTGGTACCGAAGTATGTGAAATTTAAAATTTGTGCGGTTCATTATGCAAGTTTTTGGGGTTATTTATAAGTAAAAAAAAAAAAAAATTATCAATGGGTCTTTGGTTCAATAATAGTCTTTGTCTTGTGAAGGTTTTGCCTTCTTGAGGTCAAGGGTTTAAATCCTCCTCTCCCTTGGCTCAAAAAAAAAAAGATTAAGTTGATGTTAAAAAAAAAATTATAACTTTTAGAGTTATCTAACGATTTTTTAGGGATAAAGTTATAATTTTTTTAAGAATCTCCGATCGATCTTTAGGATCGATTTTGAAACGTTTAAACCAATGGAAATATTTAGAATCAATTGCATAAAACCTCAAAAATTATAAACGACAATCCAATTTTTAGTGGTATCATATGCAATTGATTTTTTGGTTACCATAGTATTTTTCCTCTAGCATATTGACCAAAAAGTCCCTAGCCACTATAACTACTAATAAATAGTGCTTGATTATTTTTTTTTTTAATTCAAGAGTATTCGGATCAGTTTACTCGTATTTTGATTAATTTTTTTTTCGTCAAGTCAAAAATAGATCATATATGTCGAAATTAAAATGTTCCTAATAAATAAATTTTTGATGAATTAATTTTAAATAATTATTAAAATTTAAATTTAGACCATCTAAATTTATAATTTATTTTTATAATCAGTTGGGACGGGACTACTTTTACTTTTTTTTGTCCTGCGCCGGAAAGTGAGTCAATCAAAAGTAACAGAAATCCATTGGTCCATAACAGATTCAAACTCAAGGCCTCTTTTTTAACCGTCATTTTATAACTATGAACCACAGCCACACATCTCACTCTGACCCTAAAATATCTCATCCGTCCAATTTGTCTCGATATTTTCTAAAACGCCCCCAAACAGAAGAGGCCCCCTCATTATCCCATGTCCTCAGATTCAATTTCGAAACCAGGACACCAGAAAAAGTAGGTAATGTCAATTGACTATAATACCCTTCATTTCGCATGCATTTATATTGCAAAATTGTACAAGGAAAAAAAACCAGACAATTAAAAGGGTAGAATAGGAATATTACCACACGACTCCATTTTTAGACAGTTCACCTTTCCTCTGTATCATTGGTCTCTGTAAAAAAATGATAAAACACAAAAAATACCTTATTTAATTAAGAATCACACGCCCCTCTCTGGGAGTTTGAAGTATAGTTTCATTAAAAAACGTATAGTTATGATAGTTCAGTAATTAAACATACCCTTCAAAGCTCAAAATATGTGATTAAACTTTAATCTCGACCTAGACATAAGTGTAGTGGGGTCTTTCAAAAATAGTAGTATGGTGCTAAATGATAATATTTTCTAATAAATATGTAGAGTGGTCAATTTGTATATTTATTTCATGTATTAAAAAATTTGTGGATTTACTTAAAACTATAACACTTTTAATATAAATCCTTAAATCATAATTTTTTTCTGTACCACACCTCCCATTTATCATATTTGTGGTTGTTTTTACCATTATAAGTGAAATTAATCAAAAAAATATACGATACAACTCGTTATATACTAATTATATATAATTCATACATTGCATAAGCATGAGATGACACGATTCGTTAAATTTGAATTAATAAACAAATCTAATATAAGTGAAATACTTTTTAATATAATCTCTTAAGACCCAACATAAATACATCTCAACTGAGACAATTGACAAGTTTATAGCAACTTTAATCAAATTGTCAAATTTTAGTTGGATAATTCCAATGGCTCTTTTTTGCATTCCCTCCTCATCCAACAATTATGTGAAATGTTGATTGTGCTGCCCAAATTTTGACATGCTACCAAATTTGACTTTTTGCCAAATATATGATCTTTCATGTCAAATTTTAATATATCTCAACTTTCTACTCATGCATGACATAAATTTGATATATAATATTTGATATATCAATTGGAGGGTAAGATGAAAGAACAATGCTACATAAATTTAAAAAATAGACTTAAAAATTAGATTTGATAATTAAAACTATTGATTTTACCGTAAGTCCCAGCATTTATTGGGACTCATTACCTATTCAACGGCTGAAATTATCAAGTCTAATTTTTAAATTAATCTAACATTACTGAAGATGAAAATGTCAATATTATATGTCAAATTATCCCAAACGATGTGATATAACTTTTAATACCGAATAAGTGGCTCTCTTTAATATCGAACCGTGGAAATTGTGTCATGTTATTTGCGGTGAGAAATTTGGTTAGAATATTTGATAAAGGTAGCATCAGTCATTAGCAAAATTGTGACAGTTATTAAAGAGAGTATATCTTACGCCCTCGGTTTGACGAGCGGCGATGCGGACAGTAACCGAGGCCTCGCAAAAAGATAACTGCGTCTACAGACAAGCCACAAAAATTAAATAAAGAATTCGAGAAAAAAAAAACAAATAAAAAAAAAACGAGAGAGAGAGAGAGAGAGGAAGAAGAGCACTTTACTTCTTTTTTATGTTGCACGCATCCATGGAAGAAAACAGAAGGAAGACAGAGTAGTACAAGAGAAGAGAGAGAGAGAGAGAGAGGAAGAAGAACATTAAAACTCCACCAACCTCCACGATTATCAAAGCCGTTAATCCCAAAGGAGAAGCTGAGCATCAAGAAACAAGATAGCAGAATATAAGTGTTTTAGAAGAGCACTTTGATGTGCGTGTGGTGAAATGGGTTTCGTCAGTTGCATGCCTTTAACAAGCATTTCTGGGTCAGAAAATTTGATTTGATGCCCACAAAACTCGTAACTTTGTTTCCTCTTTTGATTTTTTCCTCATTTCTTTTGGTTTTTCTTGAACCATAGACTGATATCTGTAATCTCAGCTCTCTGAGTAAATTTGTCAGAAAGGTGGTGGGCTTTTTTTTTTTTGGTGTTCAAAACTGGAGAGAGATTGCGGGTTTGTGCGTTCTCTTAGATGAAGGGGATGCCCTTACCCTTTGATTTTGAGGGGAAGGGGGTGTTAGAGCTTGTTGCAAATAGTGCTTCATTATCAACTTCAAATCCATTGACACAGAAGTGGAAGAACAAAAGTAAAGTAGGTTGCTTTGTGGGTAGCTCTGAGCCTACCTCTGTCCTGGATACTTTCAGAAGTCCAAGCCCTCCTACTTCTTCTTCAACCCTGTCTTCTTCCTTGGGTGGCGGAAGCGGCGGAGCTGTTGGTGGTTTTGGTTCTACCGACACAGCCGGCGTGGCGGCGGTTTCGGGAAACCCATCTCCGAAATGGCCGCAAACCCAGCAAGAAACACCCAGCAGCTCGAATGTGGGTGTTGAATCTGGCGGTGGTGGGAGTCTGGAGCTCCACCCTGGTCAGCCATCTCTCGAGATCGGCGTCGGTGGAGGCAGCGACGGAGCAGAGAAATGTGGGCTGGAAATGGAAGATTGGGAGGGTGTGCTATCAGATTCTGTTGCGGCATCACCAAGCCAAGAACAATCTATACTCCGGTGGATCATGGGGGATGTGGATGACCCATCTATGGGCTTGAACAAGGTTTTGCAAATAAGCGGTCCAGGTGACTTCGAGTTCATCAATGGTGGTTTTGGTGTTCCAGATCAAGGTTATGGGGGAGACTCATCTTGTAATTTGGTGGGTTCTATCAACCCCTCTTTACCCACTTCAGGTTTTCCCAACAAATTCAACAACGAAAAGATTGGTTTGGTCTCAAACTCATCATCCTCTCTTCCAATTCACAAGCTTCCTAACCCTCAAAACCCCCTGTTATCCCCGTTGCACCATCCTGCACCACCCATTTCATTATCTCCAGGTGGGTTTGGTCTTTCTCCACAACATCAACCATCATTTGAATGCCTAGATGTGAAGCCCCAGATTTTCAATCAGCAATTGCTAATTAACCAGCACCAATCTCAGCATACTCAAAACCCAGCTTTTTTCTTGCCATTGCCATACACCCAGCAAGATCAACATCTTCTTATGCCACCAAATCCCAAGAGGCACAACTCCGGAGGTCTTGAACCGAACTCTCCGATCCCAAAAGGCCCATTTTTCGATTCGGCTCAAGACCCATTTTTAGGGAGACAACAGCAGCAACAGCCACTTCAGGGTCTTCCTCACCATCTTCAATTGCTTCCTCATTTTCTGCAACCAAGGCCAACAATGGCAACGAAGCCAAAAATGGTGGGTGATGAAATGGGTCATTCCAATCAACAACAACAGGTTCAACAGGCGATAATTGACCAGCTATACAAGACGGCGGAGTTGGTCCAGACGGGAAATTCAATACACGCGCAAGGGATATTGGCGCGGCTCAATCACCAGCTCTCTCCAATTGGTAAGCCTTTTCACAGGGCTGCTTTCTACTGTAAGGAGGCTCTGCAATTACTCCTCCATACAAGCAATAACATGACCCCCTCTGCGGCCACTTCGCCTCATTGTTCTCCATTTAATCTCATTTTCAAGATTGGTGCTTATAAATCTTTCTCTGAGATCTCACCCCTCCTTCAGTTTGCTAACTTTACTTGCAATCAAACAATGCTTGAGGTTTTAGAAGGCTTTGATCGAATTCATATTCTAGATTTCGATATTGGGTATGGTGGGCAATGGGCTTCTCTCATGCAGGAGCTTGCACTGAGAAGTGGCGGTGCTCCTTCGCTCAAAATCACTGCGTTCGCATCTCCATCGACCCATGATGAGCTTGAGCTTGGTCTCACTCGGGAAAATTTGATTCATTTTTCTAATGAAATCAACATGGCATTTGAGTTTGATTTTGCAAGCATTGATTCTTTGAACTCTGCTTCATGGTCACTGTCTCTTCATGGGTCGGAGAATGAAGCAATTGCTGTTAATCTCCCAGTTGGTTCCTTGTCCAACTACCAATTGCCACTCCCTTTTGTTCTTCGCTTGGTTAAGCAACTCGCCCCCAAAATTGTTGTCTCTGTGGACAGAGGCTGTGACCGAACCGACCTCCCATTTCCTAACCATGTAATTCATGCCCTCCAGTCTTATACAAACCTACTTGAATCCCTTGATGCTGTAAATGTGAACTTAGATGCCCTGCAGAAGATTGAAAGGTTCTTGCTCCAACCGGGCATTGAAAAAATTGTAATGGGTCGCTATCGTTCCCCTGAGAAGACTCAACATTGGAGGACTCTTTTTTTGTCATCTGGGTTCTCCCCATTAACTTTCAGCAATTTCACAGAATCCCAAGCTGAGTGTGTGGTGAAGAGAACACCTGTTCGGGGGTTCCATATTGAGAAGAGACAGTCTTCTCTTGTTCTTTGCTGGCAACGAAAGGAGCTCATCTCAGCTTCTGCTTGGAGGTGCTGAGCGGCAGCATTTTGAAACTGGATTTGTCGATTGATCCTCTTCATGAAGGTGCCTCGTAAGCCATCGCTCATTGCTTTAGTCTCTGATCTTTTTGAATTTTCTAGCCTGTGATTTCTTTGCCTAATTGTCTTTGTGGGTTAGACAGATTGTTTCCAAGTAAGAAAAAACCCAAACAATTTAGTTACTGGATGTTCTGGTATAGTTCTCTTCTTTCAGTGTCTTATGTTGGATATGGAATTACTGTTTTGGTGCTTTCATGCTGTTGTTGCTAGAAGCATCAGTTAGCGGTGTTTATGTTGGGGGCTGTTTGTTGTACACTTGACAACAAAGGAAAACCAGAAATGGAAAAAAACAAATTGACCCTTAAGTTGATGTCTTTGTCTTTTGCATCTGTTATAGTTTCTCAATTGCTTGCTGTTATGAACTTTGAGCTCTGATCCCATGATTGGAAAGTTTTGACAGTGTTTCATTAATCATATTCATTGTGCATGCTAATTGTTGTGAACAATACCCGAATCCCTTTTCAATTCCTTGTGCTCTTCCATTATTTTTGAAATTTTGTCATGTTGTTGTTGTATCTTTACCTTTTCATGTCTGTTTTGTGTTTATTCTATTTTTTTGGTCTCATCTTGTTCCAGTGGAGTGATACTCATATGTTTTCTTAGGCAACTCCAGTAACTTTGTTAGGCCTCACTCATATTGATTCAACTATTGCAAAAAGCTACCTGGCTGATGCATATAGTTTATAAGCTTTTTCTTATAATGATTTCACTAGAATTCCTTGTTCTGATAGATACAAGCTTCAAAACAGCCTCAATACTCCTTACTAAGGCTAATTCATTTTATTAATTTTTTTTTTGGTAACTCTAGAGTTTAGCTTAATGAATGCATTTGATTAATATTGTCCCATCGAAAATGGTATTGATTTCTCCGATGGTTATGGTGATGGTGGTGTTCCCGGGGTTTTCGGGTATTGCAGGTCTCAACGATGGATGTTGGCCTAAATTCCGTGTAGTACATGTATTGCAAGCTTCATTGCAGCTTTTAGTTTTTTTTTTTTTTTAATAATCATATGGTTTGTCTATTATACTATGATCTTGATTATTGTTATTGTTTTTCTATCATAATCTACATAGTTGTTTATGCATGCCAACGCTTGTATTATTATGCATCGAATTTGCTGTTTCTTTCTGATGAATTTTTTAGTTCCTCTCCTAATCAAATCACANATTGTCATTGTTTTTCTATCATAATCTACATAGTTGTTTATGCATGCCAACGCTTGTATTATTATGCATCGAATTTGCTGTTTCTTTCTGATGAATTTTTTAGTTCCTCTCCTAATCAAATCACATGGGACTTTCTCTATTGGACCTCCACATGATTAGTTTAAACCTCTCATCTTTCATCTCCTTGGAGGCTCACCCCGCATTCATGATTTAATAATTCAATTATTCAAACACAACCACAATACTAAATTGTTATGGCCATGTTGCATATGTGTGGGTGTGGGTGTGGGTGTGGGTGTGGGTGTGTGGGTGAGAGAGAGAGAGAAAGAGAGAGACTAATGCATTGGCTACATAAACAATGGAAACTCTTAATGGCCCTGCAAACCACCTTTTTCTTTTAATGCTTAGTTTAACCTGCACCTCTCTCTCTCTCTCTCTCTCTCTCTCTCTATATATATATATATATATATATATAATGGCTCAACAACCCTATAATAAGGGGGTCCCTTCTATTAGGGCAGTAAAGCCCCATAGTTTCCATTTGAAACAGCACAGAATAATAGTGGACCAAGGACAGGCAAAGGGATGAGAAACTGTCTAATTACTTCATTACTCTTGTGATGAGTTCAAATTTTTTTGTTCCATAGAATTTAAAATGATTGAATTTACGATTTTATAGGGTTGTGATGAAAGCATAAAATTTAGGAGAGATAAGTGACAAGAAGTTTTATCTCTATTTTTAGAAGATTGATTCTCGATCTTAAACCCGTGTCATATCAGTTGAACCTATGGAGATTGAACATCAACCCAGTTCCGATCTCAGCAAAAATTTAAAAAAAAAAAAGAAAAGAGATGATGTAGTGGAAAATGGACAAAATCATCTCCTTTTTCAAGGAAATTTGTATGCTTTTACTATAATTTTTTCTAAGATAGGGTCGCCAGCTGGCATGCTTAATTGTTGTTTAAGGTTGTTGATAAAATAAGAACATCTCTCTTTATTAAAGAACTTTAAGGTAATTATAGAACAGATGGTGACAGACTGACATATCTTCTTTATTAGTCTTACCTCTCTATTCACTCAAAGAGTTTTCTTCCTATTATCTTACAATAGCTAAAGGCTTTCACTTTTGTGAGTAAAGCATTAAACCACCCATTCGGATTGCATCCTACTCTCAGAAGCTTGTTTTGCTGGCTTGTAACATTTCTGTTACTGTGAAAATCAACTATTGAATATCTAGATTCATATGTTTCAAAATATCTTGAGATGTTTAAGAATGTTTTGATATTTATACCAATGATTTGTAATATTTTGCAATCGAAATTCAAAATTTCTTTTCTATAATATTTTTGGTACGTTTCAATTTCTGAACTAATCAAGAAAGAAGTGATTTGTCCAAGAACAAAAAGGACAATTGCTGCAATAAGGTGTACTATACTACATATGCACATAGTGAGAAAATTTGTGAATTGTCTTTTATTTTGATAAAAATAAACATTACAATTAGAGAGAGAGAGGGGGGGGGGGAGGAAGAGAAAATATTGGGTGAAACGGTGATGCCACGTCATCACGTTTCACCATCCTCGCAAAACAAGTGAATCCCATATATTATAATAACCACCTCTTCATGTCAGTTGGTTACAACCCAATGTCTCAAAATAATTACTAAGTATGGTTTATTTTGCCCACTTGTGAGTTGTGAGTTTATTGTTAAATGAAAACACCTTGTGACGGTAACTCCGTGGTGTCACCGTTATACTCAATATTTGCTCGGGAGGGAGGAAGGGGGGACACCTAGCTTAATCCCTGGTAAGAAGCCAAATTTCCAGGGTGGATCTGCTGTTTCCTGTCTACAATTGTCCGGGGGTGAGTGTTGCAAACTTGCAATTACTCTTCTGGATGTATGTTAGCATTTGATATGTCATAATTTGTATATATCATGCTGTGTCCATGCTAAACTTATAACTAACTCATTTATAATTTTATATTGTTAAATTTATGTCATGTATAATAAGGTTAAATATGGGTGTCAAATATGACACGACTCGTTAATACGATACAAAGTTAGAGAGTTTAAGTTTTTTTAAGCCATCTATTTCATAAACGAGTAGACTCAACACGACACAATTAATAAACGAACTAGGTATAAGTGAAGTCAATCAAAAGAAATATACGACACGACTCGTTTATATATCGGTTATACACTATTAATACACAATATGTCCCGTTGGATACGAATTAATAAATAAATCGGGTATGCGTGAAGTGTTTTTTTACACAAAACCATCAAGACCCAATAGAAACCGCTTTACCGGACACAATTGAAAATCCTAACCATAAGTTGGATTGCCAGGTGGTTCAACTAGCCAAAGTGTAATATTCTCCGATACAAATCTCTCATACTGTAAATTTGCTGCCCCGTGCAAAGCTCGTTTTTCTTTTATTGTACGTGTTAAGTTATTTTGATTAAAAGTAAAATTTAAATGATTTAATATGATTAAAAAGTTAAAATTTAAATGAGTTAATGTGGTTAAAAATTTAAATTTAAATGAGTTAATGTGGGTTAAAAGTTAAAATTTTAAATTTGAATGATTATCGTAGTTAAAATGTTAAAAGATTAAATCATAATATAAACTGTTGGATCGAAATAATCTAGATCAATATTGTGTTTTTCTAACCGAGGACCTTAAAGCAGTTCAAGCACGAGACTCTGTTTTATTAATATAAATAGATAGTAAGTTCAAAAAATAAAAAATGAAAAAAACAACCCTTAGTTCCGCTCATTTTACCCGAGTTCTATAAATTAAGTGTTCTCAACGAGTCAAGCTAAGTTGAGTATACATTAAAAAAAATTATGATTAGAATATTACACTTAAAAGTTCGATAAAATAAAACTTGATTTGATTGACTGGTTAGTTAAAAGTTGGATAAAAATCAATGACAAGCAATTTCACTTTTAGTTATCTTAATATAATCATAATTTTTAATGTATTGCAATCATATTGAAGGTACACATTATAGAAGTCATTAGGATGTAACCATAACAGCCATAGTTATTAAGTATTTGATATGATAGTTTTCTTACCAAAAAAAATTAAATTAAATAATGTTAATAAAAAATAATGTGTGGGTTGTAGGTAAGCTCTGCATGAAATTGACTAACTAATAACTATAACAAATAAATCAATTTCTACTAAAATAAGGATTTTTTAATCTAAGAGTGGTTGAATTGAACTTGCACCTAACTAATTTCATATAAAACTATGAGCACCTTTACTTAAAAAAATAAAGATTCAACCAACTCTATCTTAAATAGATTATTTGGTTGTGAGTACTATTGATAAAAAAAAAACTAACTCTATCTTAAATAAATTGTTGTATATGATATTATTTGCTTCTACCACAGATTTTATAATTATTTGCCATGATGTAACTAGATTGTGTTTTTAAGGAAAACTAACTTCGATTGCATTGTAGAGATCAAATCTAGAAGCAATGACAAATATTCATTCGCTAAAAAAATGAATTATGGTTTTCGGTTCGAGAATAATCATTCCTAATGTTCTCTCTAAAATGATAGAAAAATGGAAATGATGAAAAAGTTAGAGAGATTAATAAAACATCATGTTTGAAAGAAAGAAAAATATGAATGATAAAATAGTTGATAAATGAGTTTTCCTTTTAACTCATAAAAATCAATCCCTCCAAAATCGGAAACATAATAGATGAAAAATTAATTATTTGTGTTAAAATATATCTGATTTGTCTATATAACTTTTGATATATACATTAATTTCATATATAAATATAATGATAAAATATGTATCTATATTTTTTTAAATAAAAATAAATAATAAATAAATAAATATTTTTTCCATCTTATTTAGGGGTGAAAATTTTCGACTCTACATTATGACACGATTCAAATTTTATGACACGAACTTGATTATAACTCAACACAAACTTGAAAATGACCTGACATACGAACACGAAATATATATGACTCATATTCAGTTCAACCCGTCAAACCCAAAATTGACATCATCAACCTGTTTATTTAAGAATAAAAACTTTCTCTATTTTCTCATTTTTGTGGTAATACAAAATTAACATGTTTAACTAGTATTATAGACATAAAATGATAATTATTTGTAATTATTTATTAAACATTGACATAATTATTATATANATTCTCTCTAAAATGATAGAAAAATAAAAATGATGAAAAGTT